AGAAGGTCCCGTCCAAATGCATCGAGTTGAGGCATCGATGGAACACGGAGGTTGTGATGGAAGGACCGTGTTTGCTTCCATGATGGTGCCGCCCAATTGTCCCCACGTGACCCTCACGGTGTTGCCGAAATGCTGTCGCCTGTCCACCGAAAGTCGAGCCACAGCGAATGTGACTGGTGCTAAAGCAGTTGATGATGTATGACGATCGGTGTTTTGCGATCGCCGATTAGACATGACGGATTACGAAGAGAGGGTCAAAATTGTTTACATTTTTATGTTGATCGCAAGTGATGTCCAGACGTCCTCATGTATTAAACACACGGACAATAATATCTCCGTGCCACTGTCGAAACCGGAAGCTCTTACATTATGTGGCTCAACCGACAATCTCTACACCTTTGTAATTCACCGCTTACGTGTTGTTGCAGCTGTCACGACACCACCGTCGTACCAAAATCATGTGAATGGACACGAATTGTGCCACCGAAACGAGGACTTTTTGCCAGTTTCTCTATTTGTTTAGCCCTGGAAGAGGAGTGATGGTTTGGAATGACACGTTAGTTCTATGCGCGGTTCCCCTCCACCTCATCATTCAGCTAGTACAAAGCAAGCTCTCAGAAACGGATCGTGAAGGTACTCCGGCGATTACAACGGTGGCTGCAAATGCTTCTGCATTATGAGAACACTACCTGTGATTGTAGCTCCTCGTCTGCCTTTTCCCGTCTTATCGGATCGTATTGAAAAGGGGAAGGAAATGGGAAATAACTGAGGCATCAATTGCTATCAACAATTTGTCAAAAAAGTTACACATGCATATACAAAATGTGAGGAAGTGGTACCTCCTTCACATTGACGGAATGCATTCGTGATTTAGTTGTGTGGGAAGTGCTAAAATGGAGGCAGTGACAAACAAATATGGCTCTGGAAGACAACTCCTTGGATAGACAAGTGGCGTGTAGAATAGCAACAAACGATACAGGCCAGTGAATTTCCATACCGACATCTACTCGTGTTACAATTTTCGAAATAACGACAACTAAAAAAATCATTCAATTTCACGAGCTCCAATATTGAGCATGAAATCGTGCTTTGCTGTGGCATCATACGTTTTTGTTTGACCTTTGATTTGCCTTGAGGATCGCAACGAATGGGCGTCAACAGGAAGCGTCTTGACAGTTAGCCATTGCGACAGTCTGATTGCAGTTATTATCAATCTTCACCGTTAGTGCCACCAAGTTCGCGTGTGCAGACATGAACACGAAATTAATTGTGCAAGTTTATTTGGAATTTATGTTTAGTAGAGGTGTGTGCTTTGATTTGACGGATACCTGTTTACCACCCATCTGGAACGAACGTAACAGCGCCTTTCCGATTGTTTCTGCTATCTCCCACCTACGTGGTTCTATTTAAGATGCGACTTTTTTGAATTTCATCGGTTTGACCCATCGCTGGAGCGGGGACGCTGCAAGGGAAGCACCATGTGCCTCTCACATATCGGAGACTCATGAAGTCTTGCACGAGTTCCAGCGTGAACATGATTGAAGTGTCTTGGGAGATCACTGTTAAGTTCTGAAAGCCTTTCTAGTAGTAAGTACTTGCTTTAAATCAATGTAAAAACGAGATCTATCCAGTCGCCAGACCACATCATTAGGTTGGTGGATTCAGAAAGCAGTGAAAAGTATATCTATGATGTCTTGATCTAGAGGTTTACGACAAGTTTCGTATTCGCATGCAACTCTGATAGCGATAAGAAATTCGCTTAGGGAAGTAGGTGCAGACACTGAGTAGCAGCAAAATGGTCGCATTCATTCCTAAATGCGACTATCGTAAGGGAATTTGGTCAGTGAAGAAAGCCATTTGGCCCAAAGGACCATCTCCTAAGTGGCGTGACCTCTAATTCGCCTCCCTTCACCAAGGATGAGATGTTCAGGATCCTCGTCAGAATCCACTGCACCACTGATGAGGGTACACGTGGGAAAGCGCTCCTGATGACTTTAATCATTCCTTTGCATAAAATTCTGCCTGTCCAGTAAAGCATTGTTTACAATTAAGGCAGTATCACACAACGACACTAAAACATCGCCTTTGAAAACATCCATAATAAACGGCAAAATACGCAGAAAAAAGGCCACAAAATGACACTTTCACTTTTGAGGAGGAAAATGGAAACCTCACAAATGATCACGGGAACACTGCTGTAAGGGAATGCAAAGATCACTTACCTTTTCATAATAACCAAAGTAATTTAAGCTTCCTTCTTGTTCATGAAGATACAGAGGAAGCCAGTAGTGGAAGCCCAGAACTTTTGTTCCTCTGCCTTCACCCAGAAACACGTGTTCAAAGGCACTGGAACTCAGGCGCCTAGAAGCATAGAAACAGATGCGGCAAAAATAGCCGAACTGCTTAATGAAACAGTCCCAGCAAAAATTAAAAGCGTACTCCTCTTTAAGGGGTGTGAAATACCAAATTTAAAGAAAAGTGCGGAAGAAGAGCCACTCTCTCCAGCTAACTGCGATAATCATGTCAACTTCAAGACACCAATGAAATTGCGGAACCACTTGTTGCTTGAGGGGAACCAATCAGACTTTAGCAATGCTGAGTCTGTTTTAAAACTGACATTAAAAATGGAAAGGTTAAGAAAGTAAATTAACGCATAAACTTGGGCGTGACTAATAAGGGTGGCAGGAAGCGCACTTTTTGCGTTTAAAGGCACTGAACCAGAGGTGACCGAGCATATCTTTGAACTCCTCGTCAATTGGGGATGCCAGTTTCTTCTCCTCCAAATAACGTCGCACCTCTGCCATCAGTGGTGTTGCTAGAATAGCGTCGAGGAAAGCCTTTTGACTCTGAATCTTCTCCGGACTTGAGCTTTCGACCACGAGGACATTTGGATCATAGAAACGCATCAGATCAATGAAGGCTAAAAGGAAGTGAAAAGATCAAGAAGCACTTTTAAGCCACAAAATGAGAGCTTTTGACAAGAGGAAAGGAGATGAAAGTTGGGTCGGAATCGGAGTCTCTTTAAGACTCACAACGCCTTCGGCGTAAATAAACGTCGGTAGCAGCGAATACGACTTTAAAAACAGCATAAGCGCCATCCAGTCGTTTTGATGGAAAGCTGACTTCCAGTGTCTACGATTGATAACTTTATTCCTCTCTCAGTGGACTAGCTTCATGAATTTAGTAAAGGTCTACTCAAATACTCCAATCGGTCTTATAGTAGACCTTTCAAGGGGAATTCATCTTCGCGATCCCAACTCCAGTCTGGGAAAGAAGTCATTAGAGGAAGACAAGGCCGATGATAGACAAGATTAGGTCCTCTTCAAATCGGTTCAAAATCGCGGAAGAATTAGCCTCAAAAATACCTTCAAATGATCGTTAAAGCCTACCAAAAGTTTCAATTCACACAAACGCGGCAATACTACCATTGCCATCAACGATGTCACACGAGTACCAGGAAAGAACATGCAAACGATTTTCGACCATTTTGTCGGAGGCAAAGCACAATTACTTCTCCAAACCTTTTTAAAATGGACTGATGGATGGCTTGCACACTCCAGTTGGGCAACTCAGAAAACGAATGCAGGTCTTGACCTGGTAGGCATCGCAATGACAAGAGGTGGCGTGGAGCTTTGTCCACTTTGCATTTTTGAACGCCAATCCAGCGAAGCAGAAGCCTCTTTCGCAACCCCTTCAAGAGCTTAATGACGAAGAATCAGGAGCCGTTAAGGCGATTCAGTATCATAGTGTTGTATCCGCCTTTCGGTAAGGTTTAAGATGAGTGCTTGAACGACTCGATTACGCATCCAGCAATTGGGATGAAGAAGTGGAAATATTTGAATAGGTGGGTTCTGCTACTCAAGAGAACTAAAAACTACAACTTTACTGGAATCCATTCGTGATTATCCCCAAACTGTCGACTCACTGTTGCATCACCTTGTTTTCAGAAATGTAGGCCTCCTTTGCATGTGGTACACTGAGGACGGAGTTTTCCACTAATCAAGGGCGAGACAACAATTACCACTGACACGCGTCTACCCTATGCGATTAGCCTCGAGAAACTGATGGAAAAAAACTTCTAAATTAGAAGGGAGGAGGGAAGTAAGGCAATCCCCTTCTCATACCATATTTGACAAAAAATGTCTATGTGAAGGTCCTCATATTAGGGTGGGAAGAGAATACTGCGCTCGCCTTAGTCTCAGTGATTCGGACCTCCAACTTTGAACTTTGCGGCTGAAGGAGTGAACCATACACCTCCAAACGTCAGTAAGCCAACGACGAAGTGGGAGTTTGGTTGGCTCCCGATGAATATGATCGACAAAATTAACGTAAAAAAAGGATGCTGAAATCGGGGACAGATAATTCAATGGTAGATAACTTATAGCCATCAGAAGGTGACAGAGAAGTGGCTCCAAACCTCATTGAGGAAGGAAATTTGATGCGCCGGTAAAAATTTCTCTCTCCTCTCAAATCGTCCAGAAAATGTGACATAGTTGGAGTTGGAACAGAGAAGTGGGACGCAAAACCGCCAACCATTCACCTCACCTACACATCCGTTTCTCCAATGCCAGACTAAATTATCAAAATGGTGTGGTATTAAAGGGATACGGAAGCCATTTGAGTAAGTCATCAAGCGCTTTCCTGAGAGAAGCGATGAAACAAGCTTCCACTCAAAATTACTTCACTTCAGCTTCAACAAGCAGGCTATGAATTTACATACAGAGTGCAACAATAGAATCACAATTGCATCCTTTAAAGTAAGCCTCTACTTATTCGCAACATTTCGACTGCATGCAAAAGTTTCACCACCTTAATTAAGTCAAAAAGGGCAAATTACCTCGAAAAGTTGGCGTATTATACAGCTTTGTTCCGTTGGCAAATGTAAACAGCAACTCAGGCGCATTGTCTTCTAGTGGTTTTGTTGCGAAACCTTAAGAAGAGAGGAGAAAAAAAGTTTCCCTCAAATGAGCGCCTTCCCAATACAGTGAAAGTCCCCCGCTCGGGTTTTAGTGGCCTTGAGAGCACAAAATTGGGACTAAAACTTGTTCTAAACCTGAATTTCCTATGCTAATGTCATATACAATGCGTTTTGCCTCCCCAAAACCCAAAACTGCCAGCTATGATAAGTATTTTTTGAAAGGTAATTGTTTTATCAGACAGCAGCCAGTAAGAGCTGCAGTTAAGAGATCGCAAAAAAGTCAGAATCTATCACTTTGTCTACCCAATTCTCCCAATTAAATTTAAGTTTGTGGCAATGGAACAGACCTCCCAACTGAGTTAAAGTAAAAAAAAAACCAGATTACCTTGCAGATTCAGAATAATGTCCTTGTTAATTTCGAGCCGATTCGCATCCAGCTCCCACAACTTATTAACCAGCTTCTCGAAAGCAGGAATCCTACAAAAACCCAAGTTATCAGTCGGTCCCGATGTATAGCGATGTATAGATTTTGGACCTGTTTGAGTAAATTACCGCAGCTTGTTACCCCATAATTGCCTACACTTGGAAATTTAAATCAAATTCTGAACTGGAACGGAAAGTCGTGAGGACCCCTCTCAACCTGGGTAGCGATAGCGTAACTTTTATGCATATTGGGATAAAAAAAGGTGAGCCTCGAGAAGGAAATAGTAAAACATACTTCCCACGTTTTTTTTGTGATTCCACGAGAAGTATAAGACTGGAAATCACCGACAGCCACAGAAAAGCTCTGATTCGACCGATGCGCATGACGATTTAATTCCATGTGACGAAAGTCAGCCCAAACCGCTTCCGAAACGTCCCAAAGCAGTTAAGTGGACAGTGTTTTGATTGGTGGAGTGCCTGCTAATCAATACATTAGTTGCCGCTTGCTCGTTGCTTATTGGCTATGGACACTAGTCGAGGATCAAACCAGCGGCGGACCAACCACAATCCGACAACCATACATGTTTCGCCAGGATTCGGGTTCCAAATCGTTCTAAATGTAACATCACATTAATTATTGCAGAACAATGAGCATACAGCTCTGGTTTTAAATAACACCATCCTAGTTTTGTCCCATCACGTAAAAACTCATTACAATAAAGATAGAATGATCACATGGGGAGGAAGCAAAGTTAATGTGTCGTTGATTCAACATAATGAAGCAGAGCTTTACAGTAAAAGTTTAACTTCAGCATGGGACGCCAAAACGCTGTGTTGAAACAGCGCAATCAATTGGTGTCAGTGCGAAGAATACGATAGATGTGACCGCCAGCATCGGTACGCGTTAGCAAAGCTTCTTGTTCGAAACGCTCTGCTGCCTTCGATGCGAGAAGCCCGAGTAACGGTCGAAGTGACACCTCAAGGGAGATCAGTGCCCCTAATATAAATAAAGGGTGATACACTTCCAAACCAACTAAGCATGCAGTTCGATGCCAACCCGATAACGATCCAATGTATGAAATAGATAGCTACTGTTCGAAGGAATAAAAATAAAAGGTCCATAGCCGTTGCAAAAGTCTACGCTATCCCTTCAAAAGCAGACAAAGGGACTTGCCCCAAACGTCAAAAAATGATCTACCCAAAACAGGCGTATAGACGCCGATAGGGCAAATAAAACAGACCGAGATCACATGTGTTCGTTCCTACCGCAGTAAGATAAACCGGAGGAGTTGATTCGTTTGGAACGTGCATGAATTGACATATCTACAAATCAGAGATAAAAGCCGACGAAACAATAGGTAATTAACAAGGCTGACTTTGACCCAATTAAGTGAGAACTCACATGCTAGACAAGTAAGTAGTGTAGAAATGAGAATGTTTGCTCAAAGCATAATGCAACAACAAAAGTAAAGCATAGATTGAAGGACAAAATAATGGAATTATCCATCTTTAAGTGCATGCGACACTCACAGTCATATCTTGATACTTGGTTGTCATATGTTCAACTTCACCGAAGCCAAGTTTGGAAAGTTGCTGAACCGATGAGATAAATAAGGTAACGACAAAAGGCATAAAAGCTTGTTCAGGAGCATCCTCAATGGAAACTAATGAAGGAGTAGGTGAAAGCAAAATAACCACCTCCAGCCATCCGAGCACCATCTTTGTCAGAAACATAGATTCCGACGATTCCATCAACTCTTAAATCAAGTAAGACTTATGGATGCATTACGGTGAGAGGTAGGATCGAAGATATTCATTTACCGTCTACAGATAACCAGATCAAACGCATAAATCACAGACCCCACGACGCATTGTTTTCATAGGCTACTATGTGAAAATCGACTAACTTAGCACACATGCCTCGAAGATATTTCACTGACTTTGCCTATCGAGGACATGCACTAATGCTTTAGGAAGCCGCAGATAATTAAAATAACATTGCAATATTGTACATAAGTTTATCTATATATCAGAATTAGTGGTATAATGTAAATGTAGTGCAAACATTACACAATATAATGAAATAGTAAATGCAGGGCTTCTTGGATAGTATCACTTTAGCAACCCGAGAAAAGACCTGTAGGGGAAGGGAGGTATTATGCTAGACAGAATACATATATTTTAAGAGATAAGGAGAGGTAGGTTCTTGGCATGGCCAGCTGTCGGTCTTAGCACACAAGGCCAAAACGAGTGCCAAGGCAACCGCAAAGTATGAGACGGTCACATAGACAAAGATTTTCACTGCTCCTCTAACTTTCTAATCGGCGGTCCTGAGGCTTTACTTTGTATGCCCTCTAAGCTAAACAATACAACACATCCGGTGTCGAAAGGAAAAGTCCACGAGCGCTCGGTCGCATCATCTATCAGTTAACATGAGACCAAAGAACATTGAATGGTCTCCTCAGCAACTGCAATTGAACCTGGGTTGAAGTTGCGTCTGAGGGAAGGATTTGTGGTACGAAATTTCTGTTGTCCAAAAAGCTATGCCCGCGAATAGACTATAGAATCCTGGTCCAAGACATACTTTCATTTAAGAAGATGGAATCAAACATAAGTTCGTATGGAGACCAAACTGACCGTATTATCATCTTCAGCATCTATACTGGGTCATCTTTAGATAATACCTGATTCGGAAATCTTACAAATAGCCCACGGAAGTATCCCTCTAGTTGTTAATGGCATTTATATGAAACACGGCGGCGTGGTAGAACCAGGCGCAGACATCATCCCCAACCCTTCTATTGTGAGACAATAGGACGGTGTCAAATTCGATGAAAATGTGCATAATGCTTTGTTTATGTGACTATCTGATGTTTAGCTGTCACTCTAGAAGATGCCTAGCCCTTGTACTGTTGGGCTGTTCTTCGGGCCATGCTCAGTCCATTTGCTCTGTTTTCTTCGAGATACATTTATTTAGCGTCACTCATTGCCTTCCTCCACCCTATGAATTGTCTCAGGACGCTGCAACCAATAATACTGAAAGTGAGGGCTGTGGGGTCGCGAGACTTCCTGGCTGGTAATAAGAAGTCAGTAAGTGTAGTTGAACACATGTATGCACAAAGCATTACATTGCCCCTCTCTCTTTTAGAGAGACGTCCTCGGCGCTCCCCTTTGGTACACCTTTCGCATCAGCCATCGCAACATATTCGGTACTACAAGAAAGTACCCACAAACCAACCGCGCCACAAAACTGGGGAAGAGTATCTGATCTCCTCGGCAGCTCCAACGGGATCTGGAGTTACGTACGGTCTGACAACCAGATTTAGGGCAGCATTCACCAGTTTACCATCAATTGCTTCCAGGATTAAACGGTGTAACTCTAGTCTAAAACATATGTGGTACAGGGACAAAGGGATGAGGCACTGTCCCTATGTAAAGCGAACCATAGTGCCACTTCCTACACCTAAACAAGGATTTTGTATGAGAAATTCCGACTTGAAACTTTCCAAATAGTTCACGGGAGTAAGGTAAAATCAAAAGCAGACGTCTGTCAGAATCCTTTCGTTGTGAGGGATTCAGAGATTCTCCGTCATTAAGGTGAATGCACCTCCTTCAATTCACGCCCTCCCTTCGCCTGTATCTTCATCTATTGCACTTCGATAGGGTCAGACTTCCTTCTACGAATGTATAGCTCATGATGTTCAGCGCGTAACGTCATATTGTGCTTATTGGTCTTGGATTTCACCAATAAGGTATAGAACTACTTTACAGTATTGCCTGCTGGTTTGATTACAGATTTCTTGTCGTGAAAAGAGAGTTTTCGAACTTCCAGCCAAGGGAAACCGATTTTGGGATCCAACAGATTATCAGGCTCATAGATACTCAAACTCAGAACATCAACATCAAAAGTAAGCGGCATACATATCCAGATCCCGTGGGATTTGTAGGTACTGAAATATTGCATCATCCGATGGAGCCATTGTTCGCCGGCCCGTTCGTACTATTCTTTTCCGGAAATTAGCCTATTATTTGGCAGTTTAGCCCCAAAAACGTTGGATGACAGCGGTGTCTACTGGGCTTTAGAATTTCCCGAACACTATGTCGTTTTTAACAAACGTTCAACAAAGAACGAGCCGCTGAGAGAGATCTCACCTCGGCCAAAAGTTGTTAAAAGTGTAGAGTTTGCTTTTTGCTGCCAACAGTGCAGCATTTCGAGACTTTCTAGTCGGTATAATAAGTCAGTAAGTGCGGCTAGTTACACATATTCTAAAGGGGCAGGGCAATTTGGCCTGGACATGACCCGAAGGCCAGCCCACGTGAGTAAGAACTAGACAAATGCTAGAGTGACCGCCTAACGTCAGATGGTCACATAAACAAAGTTTTGCAAGGTTATACACTTCATTCGCCGAATTCGGCCCGGTGATTTCTTGGTGAACAAAATTTCATAATATAGAGCTCAAAGGGTCTAAGACAACTAAGTTTGATAACCTTAAAATGCGTGTACCTATTTGAGGCTTCTCACTATGTGTAAAGAGAAATTACTTTAAAATAAGTACATGTTATCCGTGGGAAAATGCTGGATTGGGTCTTGGCTTGCAAATGCAAGGACCAAACGAATAATAAAGTAGCATTCAGATACCAGGAAATCGCGTAAACAAAGACTTAAAGACGCAAAATATATATATTATATCCTTTATCTTACACATAATTATTATTATTTATAAGGCATATTTTAGTAGATGTCAGTGGGTAAACTCGGTTTACAAACTTTTATACCACTCTTTTAAGGCCTACAATTGATCCACTGAAAGATTAAAAAACATTTTAAATGCCTATTGAAATTTTTGATGATCTACAAAGTTTTTTACTAAATGCGCTAGGATTATTGTATTAAACCATGTTGATTGTTTTAATTGGCGCTCCTCACTTTGTATGATTGTGTGCCGCACGTTGTCCTCGTTGGTCTTTCGCAATGGGTGAAGAAGTGCATTACCGTGGGACATTAGATGGACATAGCGATTGGGTTACACAGATTGCAACGAATGCTCAGCATCCAGAACTTCTCCTTTCATCGTCCCGAGGTATGCTTGTATTTTTATTCATTCCTAGATAAAACCCTTATAATATGGGAGCTCCAGAGCCAGCAGGGTAAATTTGGTGTCGCTAAGCATGCTCTTCGCGGTCACAACCACTTTGTTAGCGATGTTGTCATGTCCTCTGATGGACAATTCGCCATATCTGGCTCTTGGGACAAGACCCTTCGCTTGTGGAATTTAACCACTGGTCAGACGGCTACCCGTTTCACCGGACATAGTGGAGATGTTCTCAGCGTTGCTTTCAGTGCTGATAATCGTCAAATCGTATCGGGTTCTCGCGACCGGACTGCTAAGCTCTGGAACACCCTTGGCCTCTGCAAATACACTTTTGACAACGAGGGTCATAGTGATTGGGTTTCTTGTGTCCGCTTCTCCCCCAATATGGAAACGCCGCTGATTGTTAGCTGTGGCTGGGATAAGGTTGTTAAGGTAAAGCGGCTTTTATTTTCGTAGAACCTAATAATCTGTTGTCTAGGTATGGAATCAGCGTAACTGTAAGCTGAGGACTGACCATTTTGGACATACTGGTTACCTTAACAATGTCACAATTTCTCCTGATGGTACTCTCTGTGCTAGCGGTGGGAAGGATGAACAGGCGATGCTCTGGGATTTAGCTGCTTGCAAATATCTGTATACTCTCCCCAGCGGTGCCGAGATTAACTCCCTTTGCTTCTCTCCCACTCGCTACTGGCTCTGCGCTGCTGCGGGCCCTTCGATCAAGATCTGGAATCTGGAAGACAAGGTATTGGTAGAGGACCTCCGCGTTGAACCCGCCGTCAACACGGAGTCAAAGAAGAAACCTAAATTGCCTGTCTGCACTTGTCTTGCGTGGTCTGCAGACGGATCTACCCTCTTTGCTGGTTACACTGATAATCGCATTCACGTTTGGCAATTCATGCACACTGCTGAGTAAGCTTTTGAGTAAAGAAAGTGGAGTGTACGGTGCTGTTTTTCTCCTTATTCCGGTTCTGCATTGCTCGATGTGGATTTTGGTAAATATTTTTCGGATGTGCTGATTATTTTGCCGCTTTCCAAGTCTTGGCCCCTAATTGTACACGGTGTCTATGAATAGGCTCATTCAAATTTTTGGCTAGTCTCCGTTGTGTCGACTTGCACTTCCGACGTAGTTGGCCCGTTAGCATCTAAGGCGTGATGAAGCGCTCTTTATCGTAAATCTATCTTTAGTATTTTGTACTTGAAATTATGAATCAATCTTGTATCAGTTGTGGTGGTGATCAGTTCTGTGTAAGGTGTTGAGGTTATCTGGGTTTCTTTATGTGATTTAGGTGGTGCTGTTGGAGTGTTTGCCTCAACTTAACCTGAATGCGCGTTGTGCACTTTTGGTAATTGCTTCATCGTCTGCAGGCTTTTATGTACCTGGTAACATTTCTTCCTCCGTAAAATGGGGAAAGCTGGTGGCTTTTACACAACGGGACTTCGAGGGTTGTCTTTCTGAATAGGTAGTATTGTTTCATACCTTTGGTGAAGTCAGGTTACTCCAATGCCTTTCGCTTTTGCGTAATGTGCGCATTGTTGTTCTGGGTCTGGCTTCAAGGGGTGAAATAGGTTCATCTGGCCTTGGATAAGTAGCTGTGAGGGTGGGGTCGAGGAATGATACATGAAATTCTCTTCATTGCTGGCGGTCGGAGCCTGCAATATTGCTGTGGTGTGACCAGTAGGACTAAATGTTTGGGTGTTGTAGCGTTAATCGGGCAAATTGATCGGAGATGAGATGTTTGAAGGATGGGTTTGTGTTGCAAGAGGCAAGTTAGCTGCTGAACTGTTCGACTGATGGCTGGTGTTACTACAGGCAGCATTTCCGACTGGTTTTGGAATACGCGAATGTGGACAATGCGGAGTCATTCAAAGTGACACGGAAAGTCGGAGCTTGACCCAAAACTAAGTCTAAAGCGACGGTATTTCTGAATTTATGGTTATTCGGGGCCAACAACGTCCTGTCAACCCATTGGTCCGCATGTTTTTCGCCTATCTGTCCGTTCTGTATCGTTCTGAAGATAATGTCCTTCCATCTATCGACTATCCCTATCCGCTCTTCGTACGTTCATTACTCCATTCTATATTCTTCCGTCATTTCGTTTTGCGTCTACCGGCCCATCATCCATCCGGTATTCATCAGTATATTCATACATTCGTGTCTATCCATTCCCACTTGCCTGCTCTTGCCACTTCTCCAGCTGTACTGAACGAGTGGATGTACATTGAAAATGGTCTATTTAAATTAGTTGAAAATGCTACAAGGTAGAGTATGGAATACCACTATTTTGAAAACACACGAAGGGGGTCTCCTCAAGTTCTCATTTAATCACTAATCAGGGACAGGCCAAGTTTGGACGTCAACGCAGTGCTTCGAATGCGATAGGTGAGATCAGAGTGTACAAACACCGTGTACAAGGTGCTGAGTGGATTCCGGAAACTCGACTTCTGCCTCTATAGCTCCATCAATCAGCAATTTTAAGTTCCTCAGGCATCCCATGAAGGGCGGCACCACCGTTCCACTGTGATGATCCGATTGCATTTGTGGCGTGATTTCTGCAGATGAGGAAGGAAAGTTGGTCAGAGCATGCAATGAAGGGGTGTTGGGTATTTAAAGGCAAGTAAACCTTCATCTGATCCATAGAAGATGTTTCGTAAAGGACCCAGAGCACTCAAGATCAGGGATTGAGCAGACTCGCTTTGGGTGCTGATTTCAATGATCGACCCAAATTCCTGCATAAGGATCTTCACCGATGCGTAGTGCCAGGCAAGTGGTTCCACGGAGTTGATAGTGAAACTCACCTTCTCCTCCATTGTAATGTCGGTGACGTAGACCTAGGCAGAAGAGGAAAATTGGATGAACATTATTTTATGGAGAGGAAATATGTGTGGAGTAATATGTGCATACCATATAGCGGTCGAGGTAGATCCAAATACGGATTGGCTCATCAGGATTGTTCAAATTTTCAAAGACCATCACGAAGAGACTTTCCACACCTATCTTTTGTGCATCGTAGAGGACTTCAAAGGAGAATTCGATGGAAGTCATACTTTCTGTCGCCTTTGAGTCAACGTTCACTGGAATTATTATCATTTTGCAATTAGGGTCACATTTTCTCACATCAGAAATTAAAAAGAGGTTTTATCAGCATTCTACTCGATTTGGTGATGCCATTGGCAGCGTAACCACCTAAGGAAAACTCTAGCGACATCCATAGAAAGTGCTCTTTCTTTCAAACCTGGAAACTTTCACCAACACTCTAACTCAAGAGTTACTCACGATTGAGTGGCAGAAGTCGGCCACGATCAGGTTGGATAATATCCTGAACCTTTGGCAGCACGTGGACGGCTTTGACATCTAACAAGAAGCAATCCGGACAAGATGGTAGGTTGGATTTGGACAAATCAAACTCCTGTCCACCCAACGTTAACTCATCCACACAACCGAACAGATTTGCCAAGTTCATCTGTAAAAAATAATGTTTACTAAAATTAAAATCAGTAGGAAGAGTGTTCACATCTATTATCTGACTCACGGTCTTTCGGCCCATTCGCACAGTGCGCGCAGTTGGATATCCACCGATGAAGGCATTGACTGGCACACGCCAAGTGATCGATTCCTCAATCCAGGTCTCGTGGTAGTCAAGAATGAACTATGGGTGGAAATTAAAACCTAGTTACAACACTTAGCTAGCACAATCTTAAAAAGGTTTGACGAATAACTGCAGACCCGCATTTTTGTGACTTGGACGCCACGCTGAGCATCTCTAGTTTGCATGTTAACGGGAAGGAGTTCCAAGCGATGCCACGCGTTGTCACGAAGATCTAGGGGTGGTGATGACCAGTAGAAATCGCTATTTCCATCAGTCCCGCTCTCCACTATCAGGTGTATTTGACGTTTGCCTAAGAGGATAAAGAGGGTGCCAGCCTTGAAGCCAAAATTAAAGGCGCCTAAGAGTCCAGCTGTGTTGTTGGCATCATTTTGAGTCCGTGTACGAAAGCCAATGGTCACTCGGAAGTCTCTGCGGAAGATAAAAACCACGACATATGTGATTCGTTTGTAACTAACTGAAAATGCACCTTCAAAATCATTTTAGCTGTTTCATGAAAACTCACGGATTTCTGGCCAGCACTTTGGCTATATTTTCCACCTCCCAGTGAGTTTCACCATTGAACCAAGCCGACGATGTCTGGGCCTCTCGACAGTTCTGCAGCACACCACCAAGAGAGTAGAAACAAGCATGGGGGATGAGACGAAAGAATTGCACATATAGGCGTCTAAGGAGTCCTTACCTTTGTGCTCTTCCCATTTCCAACATAATGCATACTGCGAACTCGAACTCTGCGTGACGGCTTAGGAGAAAGAAGTGAATGGATGATGATTGGCCACTCCTTGGTTACATTATCACTAATTGCATCGCATAACTGAAAGTCAAAGAGACCATGTGTTGCAAAATGGAAGTTCACCTGAAGTCACTTAGGCACTACTACCTACCTGCGGGTTGATATCTCCGCAGTCCTCAAAGACAGAGCGCAAACGTCGGCCAGCTGGTGGTGCAGACAAGTCAAGACCTTGGTAGACAAATTCAGTCGTCGAAGATGGATGACCTCCATCTATTGGAGCGACAAACCTCGGGCGAAGTTGACCTCCACATTCACCGAACCGGTAGAACGGCTTATTCCGTAGACTATCGACCATGTCTTTGGCAAAGTCAACACGGCTGAAGGGATGTAGAACACATTGTCGAAGTCCTTCTAAGTCGAAAAGACTAAAAAGGAGGACTTACTGCTCGCCGATGATTAGATTGCTAATGGAGAATTCGTGGTAAGAGAGGGTGTTCAACTCAGGACCGACGTAGATTTGCAGGACATCAGATTTTGGAATGGGTTGGCTTAATGACCATGTATGAACCGGGCGTTGGTCAAAGAGGACAGTTAGTCTGTCAAGATAGAATTGATTAAACAAGTTGGAGTAGTAGAGTAGTTTCTTAAAAATCATTTGATAAACAATCTTGTCATTACTTCAATGACAAGTTGGTTACCAGTTTTATTGCTTAGGAATAACAATTATTTGCCAGAATGGACGCAGTTTTTCTACTAGCTCCTAGAAAGTATAACAGTGTGGGTCTGTTAAGCCTAATCCGGATTTTCTAGAGATTAGCTCCAAAAAATTTTCTCAAGATGAATCTACAAGTGGGCAAAACCTGGTGAAATCAGGTCCGCTAAATCGAAGAGTGAGAACGGATTCTGCAAACAGGGGCTGTTGGAAGACCTGCGCCTCACGAGCCTTCAAAGCAGCAAGGTTGTTGGCTGGGTCACGAATGACTGGCGCCCCAAAGATCTCCCTCGTAGTAAACTTCGTTGGATCGCTAGGAATGGCGATTCCAACACGCAAATCGGAAGTCAGCCATACGCGGAACCAGAGGTTATTTTGCTGCAGAGAGAAGACAAAAGTGACTGAATGTTTACCCCAATGCCATGACAAAATAAATTTTGCCATGAAATTTTGAGGTGTAGACGACTAGAATGATCGAGACAACTAGCTTACGGTCAAAAATTAGTGCTAGCGATCGTAAAGTTTAGAATTATTTAAACATCCATAATAAAAACATTTTACTTAAAAAATGTTAGTAAAGGCATTATTTTGTTTTATTTGACAGTCTTACCTCAGCAACTTGCATTCGAAGCAGGTTGATTTCTTCGTTGCCGACGGGGCGGAACCGTACCGTCATGCTGATTTCGGGCAGCCATGGCGCCGAGAACTTGTTCGGTTTCAGCTCAAAGCTCGTGAAGTTAATAAGGGGCATGAGGGTTAGACAGTACTGGTTGGTCGGTGCAGTGTTTTGCTGCCAAAGTAAAAGGGTATTGTTTTGATTTCTGTTATTTACAACACATAGTTGCAAAGCATGGAAATATATTGACGATGCTTAGAATACAGGTGACAGACAAGAGCTGTGAGGCTAGAACCCCAGGTAAACTACGTCACTTACAATGGCATAGGCCTCCTCTGTTTGTCGTATATCTGCAAATCGTGTGTCTCCGTAGTTGCGAATCGGAGTTTTCGTGTATGAGTCGATCAGAATGGAGCCAAGCATGTGATCCCCAGAAGATGCCAGACCAATGCGGCCCCGGAAGCCACTTGTTGACAAACCATAGCTGCGAGAAAACAGCGTTATCATTGCCGTCAAAGAAGATACACAGACTATATTTCAATTCAAAATGGTTTTTGCTGTCTTCTACAGTCAAAAAGTGCACAACACTCATAATTGTTAAGTAAAAATTGTCAGACCTTCCACTTACGCCTTCATTGCCCTGCGCAATTCAAAGTGACCAGGAGGAATGCCCCCAACGAAGATAACGTAGTCATCCTCTTTTGCCAATGCACAATCCTCTGCCATTCGTTCTTCCAGAGCCCAGTAATTAGAGGCAATCGGAGACACCCGAATCGACCGTATGCTACGCGTTCGGTAACCGTTGCCTCCCTTGAGGTTACCATGCCAGCGGCTACAGACAAGCTCGTAACCTTTGCTCTCCACGGTGATACCGTAGTCCTACCAACCGAACACAATAACATTATCACATAACAAGCCCTTTCTCAACCGAAAGGAGACCATGAAATTCAATGCAATCAGACGGCGACGGAGGTGCGGTAATTAAAAGCAAGTATTTGCTCAATTTCAACTACATTGAGTTCCTGGAGGTATGACGTTAACACCGCATTACTCTACTATTACAGTGAGTCTGTCCTTTAGAGGTCTACATACTTCACGGTAGTTGTAGAAGGTCAGAACCATGCTGTTGGCCTTTTGTGGTGCAAGTTTTTGCAAATGTATGTTGAGAGTTCGATCACAGGGTGAGATATGATCGTAGCTGGTAATACGAGCGTAGGCATCAGTGGCTGCGAAATCGTGAAGTTGCATATACTCGAGGAAGACCTCCTGAACTGAGCCGCTGTTGGTATCGGATGCGATTTCCCTTGGGCGCGAGCGACTGGAGGTGACACTGAGTCCTGTCTCCAAGGCAGCCGACTTCTCCCACACATAACCGTCACGCACGATGGGACGGAAATTCGTGTGACTGTGAAGAGGTGAGAAAAAGAGATCAAGAAGACGGCAATATTGGGATGCGTAGTCAGTTGTCTGGGCTGTTTAAGTCATATTTTGCCAGCGGATATCCATGCTGCAAGTGAGCTCACTTAAACTCACATCTTGCAGAAATCCTCCTTCTGTTGGAAGCACGCCGGATCGGCCTTAGCAAAGTCGGGGAAACCCAACCGATGTCCGGCAATTTTCAGCTCATAAAGACATCCCTTAGCGTGCTCCATCTTTATGAGACGTGCCCACATCTCCTCGGCACCACCATCACCCCAGGATTCCATAGGTGCAACATTTGATTCTGACGTGTTGATGGTGTGGAAGGCTCCACCAACGCGCAACTCTAACTGATTATCCAAAAGAAGCCCTGTGGGCAGTGTTTCACCATTATTGTCCTCCAAAAAGGTTTTCGAGAGGGTTGGTAGACCATCAAGAGTTTCGCGGTCTTTTGGAACCTCTTGGAGGTAAAGATCTACTCGGCCTGGTACTGCAGTCACTCGAACCTGGTGAGTAGAAGGGAAACATCAGATGTTTAATTGCCTCAGTGGAAAGAAATTTTAAAAGACTGCTCCAGCTATCCGAGGCGCTAATGCCCCAATACTTCTGAGAGTCAAGTCGAGAACCACTCCCTAAACGCACCAGATCCTTAATAATGAAGTAATTATCAACCAAAGTGTTGTAATTTCTACTTCTCACTTACTCTGTTGCTCGCGGAACCATTGAGTGGTCCAACTTCAATGCCCAACTCGCCACCAACAACATCCGGTTGTGACCAAGCAAACCGCAAGTTCCCGTTTGGTTCCACGGTGACAGCAAAAATGGTCGTTCGCGCAGGGAAGGCGCGTCTACCGACCAACAGCACCGAATTCGTTCGAATGCCGGTGGCAGAGGAGGAAGTGGCGGGAGACGAGGAAACGCTACGTCGTTGGAGTGCAGGAGTGAACCAGAATTCAAGGTCGAAAACACGACTGCGAATTGTATGGTACGGAACTAGGGTGTAAATACAATCTCCTCCACCACTCAGGCGCAGAGGAATGGGATCTTTGCCCAGACTACCATAGGTGAGATCCAGCAGTGAGCGTGCCAATGAAGCAAGGCGCCTCGCTGTTGCCATTTTGCGATCTACTGCCTCAACTCGTTCCTCTGTCATGGCTATCACTTCCAATAGACTGCGCTGAGTAGAGTTGGCCTGGTTGACTAGATGTGAATTGGAGTTTCATTACAGTTGAACGTTAAGCAACAAATCATAAGAAAGGAGGCTTCATATAGCAGCTTACGGCTTACTAAATGCTTACTCGCAGATGCATGATTCATGCCAAATCGGCAAACCCTTATGTCTGCATGGTTAAGCAAATTCTTAAAGAGTCAAAAGGTTTTATGCGCAATAGGTCATCATTCCTTCCGTTAAACAAGACACCTTCTTATAAACTCATATTGGTCAGAGAAAAATCAGTCCGAATGAGATAATAATGGGGTCAAACAACTCACCGGCCATGTTGGCGGTACCTTCTAGCTCGTTGAACTGCTTTTCGATTGCACGAACCTCTTTGTCGATTTTATCAAAACGTTTCTTCTCCTCCATAACCTCTTTAGCAAGAACATTCAATTCGGATCGTGTAAGTGTCACCAGTGGAAGCAGTTGGCCATCGACGCGTTGTTTGGTAAGTTTAGACGCCTCCAAAGTACGTTTCAGCACCGCACTTACATCATTAAATGACTTCTTCAACGTTGTCAAGCGATCCGCATTGGCATCGGCAATTAACTTGGCGTCATTCAGACGGTCATTTAAACGCTCCACACGTTCCTAAGAGTCGAAAAATATTTCTACTTACACAAAATAAGTAAGAAGAAGCGCATGTGTAAAATAAATTATTTGAAATTCAAAAAGGGCTTTGTGAGAACCTTCATACGCATGTTCAAGTCAGTCTTTAAAAGAAACCAGATTTCGTTCGAACTTCACGAGGTACGTAGGCACAAAAACTTCAGTTATATTGATTCTCTAGCATCAAAACTAACCATTGTTTTCTCATGACGCTTTAGGATGTCGGCAAGGGAGGCTTCAATGGAACTCGCAGAGACGCCTTCACCACCAGCAGCCTCTATGGCACGCATGCCCTCGTCAGTGATGTTGCGTGCTTCCATGAGGATGTCTCCAATGTTTTTATATGTTTCGCGTATCTTTAGAGTCCGGTCCACTCCATCACGATCCACTGCCGCCACAATTCGGTTACTAGACCTCTCCAAACCATGTGCTTTGCTAATTACCTCGGGAGGCACGGTAGCTGGCACCTGAGAAAGGAAATGGGAATTACTAAATTGCTAAATGGAGGACAATACGAGGAAAACTAAAAGGTGCTCAACAATCTGAAACTGGGTTTAACAGTGTTACACAAGCTCCTCATTAACTATAGACTCTGTTCACAACTCTATTCATGTCGTTTCTTATACAATCCTTCTGGCTTCACTTGACATTACATTAGACTTAACGATTTCGGATTTTAGAGACCTACTCGGCGATGCCTTGTACCCCACTTAATTAATTACCGTTTGGGTCTAATGCCACCACGCTTTGCAAAAATTTGATTCCACTGCACAGGCAATAATTTACCAATATGAATTCAATGCAAGTAGAATTCAAATTCTTCCGTATCTTTCAGATTCATGGCAGTAAAATGTCTCATTTTAACAAAAATATTTGACCTGATTGAATGACTGAGATTTTTCCAGGAGATCGGCCAGCCGATTTACTTCATTCAGAGTTGGAGCTTGGAAATCTGTGACATTGTTTTTCAAAATCCTCAACTGCTCTTCAAAAATTGTCTGATTTAGGTGGATTGTATCAATTGCACTGCCACTGGTATTGTCCATCATTTCTTGGATGCTCAAAATTTCATCCTGCAAGAATTTATACATACATATAGGCCCAACATTACGTTCATCGTCTTAGATGCTATCAGTGAGTTAGGTTGCTGTGCCTCTTACCAACTTCTTTTGAGTTTGGTTCCCCATATGGTAGAGTCGTTCTAATTGTGTGTTTAAATGCGAATCCTGCATTTTTTGGTAGTGCTCTAATCTGTCAATTTTGATAGCGTAGTTGGTGTCTGCTGCACGTTTCAAAATTGCTGCCAACTGATCCTCCAATCGTCTGCTAGCTTCAAGCATTTCACTCGCCCACTTATTGGTGGGCTGAAGGTCAACGCGCGAGATCTCTTGACGAATCAAACGAGCTCGTTGATGCCACTGTTGAATAAGAGCCTCGTCTACAGGACCGGATCGAAGATTTCGCATAGACTGAATCCATTCACCGAATCGACGCTCAAGACCCAAAAGCTCCCGCGATAAACTAGCAGTGTTGTTTGTGATATTGCAACTGATATCATCGATAGCTCTTACGCTAGCAGGCAGTGTGGTTAACACGCTAAGCGAGATACGAGACAGATCCCTGGTAATTTTGGAAGCACGCTCCAGGAGTTCGCGTTCGGTGTATAGGGTGCCAGTGAGACTGTATCGATGGCGAAGCTGTTCAGCACGATTTTGAAGGTCGTTTAGACCCCGATGGGCGAGCTCAGTGAGGTCAATTGCATCAATTTCGGTGTTGACTTCAGACGCGCGCTCAAGTAATTCCCCAGTGCAATCGCCACGACAATCTGTTTAAAAAGTCGATGGAGAAAAGTTGTCTCTTTCATTACACAGAATTGAAAACTCTTTTATCTATTTACCATTTATCTTCGTTAAATTTCAAAAGGATTTGTTGGATCTGTTGACAAAAATGTCAAGATCACTCACCGATGCAATGTCCGGCATCGACTACATGACCTTCTGGACACTCATCACACTGTCGTCCACTGATACCCGGTAGACAGACACACTGACCGGTCTTCTTGTTACAGTTTTGATGTTGCGAGCCCGATGGATTGCAAGCACAAGGTTTACAAGGGACCATCATCAACGGGTCGCCATAGTAGCCATTGGCACAACGGTCGCACAGATGACCGGCATAGCCTGGTAGACATTCACAAACGTGTTGACCACTGGTCCCAATTGAATAGCACGTCTTGGCATAGCTGCAATAAATAGGGTATACTAGTGCGACAAATCGTCATCCTACTTGATTAACAAAGAGAGGATTTCGCCACATTTGAGAGCGTTAGTAAAGTACGTGTCCATTGGCAAAGTGAGCACAGTTTAAGCTTAAAGAGAGACAATAACATATACTTGGCGGTCTCGCTTGGACACCGACATCGCTCGCAGGGAATGCCTTTGACTGGATCGCCAGTGTATCCCTCAGCGCAGACCTCGCAGTGCGCTCCAGCAGTGTTGCCCATACAGTTTATACAGGAACCGTTTTGATGATCGCATTCTGTTGCCATTCCATTGCATTTACATTCCAACACACTGCCTCCCTCAAAATCAAAGCTCGGCACTAATAAAGCAAGAAGAATTGGTTACTTTAGCATGTCGTATAAACACATCGAACCAATAAGTCTTCTAAATTTTCCACCTGACATCCCTCAATTAGCTGTTGCCAAAAGAAACACGCTCTTTGAAAGGCAGTATTTGTAAAGGATGACTATAGGGGCCAAAAAAATGGTAGGGTCGGTCTTTGAAGGGCTGTGAATGCCTCAAAATGATCCTTGGTAAAGAACTGATGAAGTCACGACTGACGAATTTGAGTTGATCAGATGAGGTATTTGAATTTTTTCCATTCAAACTCATAGAAGCGTTTAGCCCTGTCACTCATGCATACTGATTAGTAATGCCTCTGAATTGCCTAGCGTCCACATTTTTGCCAAAAAAAAGAACTCTCCTGCAAGCTTTAAACTCAAGTTCTACGGGCGACGATGAGTTCACTCACTTCCACCGGCAGGAATTGAATCGTTTCCAGAGGGCTTTGACATATCGGTCAATTCGTCGAAGAAGGTGCCATCAGGAGACGGTTTAATCACGATTGGTGGGAAGTAACTTAAATCCTCAGCAATCTAAAGGCAAAAGAGAAACCGTTTGGCGTTGCCTGGCTGTATGCATGCCAAAAACTTTTTAACTGAACGCTTGAAATGCAGTGCTTTTGAGTGCAAAAATACTTTGTTCTACTAGGTGAAAGAGTAAGTTTTACAAATGCATATTTATTTAATAAATATGGACTAGCTTGTCAGGTAACAAAGTGGATTAATGACAAATAATTTTATAAGTCACCGGCTCACCTCACAGTGATCACCACGAGCAGAATCGGTGCAAATGCAAGTTTCAATTGTGGTGATCGGTGTGCCCATTTGAGTTAGCGCCTCACTCTTTGCTGTCCTTGTTCGGTAGTTCACACTAAAGAAGAAGCAGTAGATTAACAAACTCAGGAATTTCGCTTAAAAATGGGAGCAGAAGAATCCAACAAAAGCGTACATAAACCGTGTGACAATGCAGTAATGACATCCTCCTGAGAGCTAGCCCACGAGACTGGCTAAAAATGGGTTACATGAAATTGTGGAGACCAAATTTGATCACTTTTCACATGGGCAAACAATGCAAGTCAACACTCCTTCAAAAGTAAAACCAATGCAAGTGAACACAGAAGCTGCCTAAACCTACCTTATAGCCTTGAGCGGAATACCGGGCGAGGCTAAGCGGACAGAGAAGGAGGAGATGTTGACGAGAGCAAGCATGAGAGCCGCTCGACTGGGACGAACGCGAAGGCGTTGGTTGTTGATACGAGTGAGCACCCAGTCGTTCTCGCGCATCCATACGGTGTAGTACTGAGCAACTAGCTCACCTCCAGGAACCGGCGTACGCGGTGGGGGACTCTGAGTATCAACAACTCCATATAATAATAGCTGCTTTTAAATGATAGGTAAATTGTATTTCATAGGTCTCTAGTGACGAAACAAATAGGCTATGCTATCAACAATTTGCACATGGCTTTCATGTTTTACCTCGGGTTGATATTCAAACTCAAGCTGACCATTGAGAGCGGTCATCCGAGCGAAGACTTTTTGGGGATCCTCTAGCACTGTTTGATGTGTGGGAGACGCCTCTCGTGCAACCAACTCCGTATTGTCTTCAGACGTCTCAAACCCACAGTTAGCCGTTGGTAGACAGTCTGTGTGAACTTCCACCAATATCGATCCGTAGCTTCGTGTCTATGGGGATGAATGTTGTGAGTTAGATCCATACTTTTGATTGCCGTGTCATGCAGTTTAGTTTTATTCTCTTTCACAGGTTCGTAGAACTGAATCGATTAGAAACAACTCTGCTTGTTAAGAAGCTCTACTGATGCCAAAAAAACAGTATCCAGAAAATGTGAATGGCTGATATGACTTACGTGAGATCCCTTTAATTCAGGTAGTATAAGGAAGGTCGGCATGTTTTTGGAGAAGCGCCATTTGAACTGGCTTTGCCCTACTGTTAGATCGGGTAACTGACTCGATCCGGTACTGACCTCTAAAGTTAATTTGAGGTCAACCACGGGACCACCTGGTAAGTACTTGTTGTCTGTCCCTATTAGCTACAAAGTAAGAAAAAACGAAAAACATTCCAATCCTGTGAACTTCAAACAACTTTGGGGAAGTTAGGCAATTCAGTGCATCTGTGTTCCTGCGATCAAGTAGATTTTGCCGCACCAAGTAAGTCACCAATCATGACAGTTACTCAAAGTGCTATCAGCAGCAACAGGTAAGTAATAAAAAAGGGAAGACAAAAGACTGACTACTTCATTTCAATGTCTACCCAGAAGGGGTTTTTTTCCCGTCAAGCATGATACCTGTAATCTGCGAGGCAATTCTGGCACCGACCGATAACCCTTCAGCTGTTCACATTGTGGAGGTTTCGAGGTTGGAAAGCAGAAGCAAGCGTAGCAACCAAGGGGGTAATCAGCACTTAGTCCAAACGATCCTTGAATACACCTATCACACTTCTCTCCCTACAAAAAGATAAGAGATGGTCTCGACTTCTTTTTAATAAGTAGGTCACTTCTTTCGCCAATTTTTTTTTCACACCTCAACATTGGCCTTACAGAGACAGGCACCAGTTTCAGGATTGCAAGCAATCTGGTCTCCATCACTGCTATTTCGAAGAGTGCCCTCCAAACTGCACATACAAGGCTTGCAATCGGGATAGCCGTAATGTCCAGGTGCACATTTGTCACAAGCTCGACCGGAGAAACCATTCCTGCAGGGACATTGACCAGTTACAAGATCACAGTCGCCCGATGCATCTATTGAGCCTATCTCTGAGCAGTTACAGTCCTAGAAGGCATAATTTAAAGTGAATGTGGATAAAAATATAAGTTAATTAACATCAAATTGATTATCTAGGCTGTATCGAATTTTCCGAGCAAAAACTGCTGTTTGTTTCTTCAGAAAACAGTCACATTTGGAATCTGGGTATTTTCAAATCATTTTTTACCTTGCATCCCACAATGGGATTATAATCGTAGGAATTGGGACCACATGTTTCGCATTGATCCCCAATTGTATTCTTTGGGCAACTACACTTTCCAGTAAGTTGGTCACATACTCGACCACTCGGGCATCGAGGACAGCCTAAAATGAATAAAATTGTATGCTTATTGGGGAAACCGTTGCCGTGTCTTCCATGTTTCACCTATCTACAAAAACCTCACGTTTGCACCCCTGCGGGGAAGGACCCCAGAAGCCCGGTTCGCATTGGTCGCAGCGTCGACCAATTACGAAACGAGCGCATTTGCATTGGCCGGTATAAATATCACAGTCATTGGTGGAGAGAGAACCCGCACCACAATCACAAGGGATACAGTGGGGCTCACTTCTATTCCAATAATAGCCCGTCTAAAACACAAATGTCAACTAAATTGGTTGCCTCTTTCTTGAAGCAGACGAAGCGTGAGCGAATGACTCACCAAACAACGATCGCACTTTTGACCAACCACGTTATTACCGCATTCGCACTGGCCAGTAGTTGGGTGGCATGCGGTTGATAGTGCGCGATTTGAACACTCGCAAGCTGATTGGTTGGAAGACAATTTGAGCGTAGGTGGATTGAGTTGTAAATATTGTTTTGGTAAAAATAGCTAAACTACCAAATGACGCGTTCACCAAGTTGGGGAGGTAAAAAGGGATTATTGGGTGAAGGTCCAGTAAAACACGTTAGAAACCTCTGCCACACGATTTCTTTCGCAAAGCAAATATTTCAAAATCTCGATTGGAATAACTCGGATGATTTATCCTACCATCTAGGCGTCAAATTAATTTTGTTGTTCGATACTCCTCTACTGGAGTTTTGATGGCAACTTACGTTGGCAGCCATTGATACCAAGATTGTAGTAGCCATCATCGCATCTATCACACTGGAGCGTTCCTCCAACGCCGGGTTTGCAGCGGCATTGGCCTGTGATGGGATCACAAGAACCGTTGATGAGGGGTAGAGATCCTAGGGGATCGCAGTTACACAGCGGACAGCCGGCGTCTACATTGCCCCGGCCCTGCACGCAGCGATCGCATCGCGGACCTTCGTAGAAGAGCTTACATAGGCAAAGACCTGTGTTCTTGTCACATTCGACGCTCTGACTACCCACAGGATGGCATTTACAGGCTTGACAAAAGAGAAGACATTAAGTATGAGATAGATGGGATTCGTGTGGCAACACTGAAAATACAGCTAACTCCTGGAGGTTGTAGCAAATGTAACTTCTCACCTTTTCAGATATCGTTTATTGGCGCATAAACATGGGGTTCAACCTACAATCAGCACATTTGAGCAAAACTGGCAAATATTTATTAATTTCAAGTTGTCTGAATTCTACTAAGATCTCTACTCACGTGTACAGAGTTCGCCTCGAAGAGGGTCACCATGACTTCCGGGTTCGCATTCGGTGCATTGGGGGCCCGTAGTGTGATAGCCGCATTTACATTCTCCGGTGACGCCATCGCAACCAATGGCCATGATGCCGCAGTCGCATGGTCGACAAGGCTGACCTAAAAGCGGATTCCCGTAAAACATCTCGGCGCAGGCCTCGCAGAACTGGCCTCGGGTGCTGGGAATTTCATGAAAATATTTAAAATTATGATAACAATAAGGAAATTTCGTTTTAACAAATTCGAGAGAAAATATGCTAGGCTAATTCGAAAGTGTGGAAAAAATTGGTAGGAACCCAAAAATTAGAAGGTTATCTTTTTCTCCACTTGTAAGTAATTTTTTAAACATTTTGTCTACCACTACTGAAGCCACTTTTGTGCCTTCAAAATATTGTCCTTGAATTAAGTAGCTGTACTGTGGCAGTTTCTCTAAATCACCTTAAACATTAATGTGGAAAAAGCATATTCAATCGTTCAACAGACTTTCAGAGTTATTTAAGAGAAAAATCTTAGGTTAACAATTTGAAGGGCTAGTATCGTCAAAACCATAAAACTGTAGTAAAATTGTGAATTTCTTTCCTCAGAGGCTATTTTATCCATTAAATTCGACTTAGATTCCAAAACAAGTTGCAATGTTGTAGTAATTCGACCTACTTTTCTTGGCAATCCAAACATACATAAGGCTTTTCAACGGAGAATCCAAAGGAGCCCACAATTCTTCCAGAAATTGTGACGCATGAGTTCGTCTTCTGATTTAGGAGGCTGGGGCATTCACAGGGCTGACAGATGTCAGATCCGAATTTAGTCGGATCAAGGTGATAACCTGGTGCGCATTGTTCGCAATTTCGTCCATATGTGTTGTACTTGCAGTTCTACAGGTAGGAGGAAGTGGAGGCGAATAATAGCAACATTTTATTATGGGGTGGTTTTGAGTCAGCCGCGCAAATTTCAGTGGCATCAATGCGCAAAATTGGTAGATACATACTTTGAGTAATATTAAGATTACAGTGATCAGCTACATTCCAAATCACGAGGCCACTCCATGGCCTTGACGGCAATCAATCAATCAATCAATCAAGAATGGCATTAACCAATAAACACACCAGACAGTGTCCTGTGTTCGGATCGCACGTATCGGCTCTCCCGTTACAATTACAGGGTACACAAGAACGTCGATAGATTTGGTTCACTAGGCCAAGAAAGCTTGCAATCATTCCACCTTGATCTTGGCCTGCGAGCGCAACGGATGGGTCGCGCCAGTACCCCATCTCGCATTCCTCGCAAGAGGTGCCTCGATGTCCTGGGGGACACCGACATTCCTCTACTCCACTGATCCCTTCAAGTAAGCCGTGGGTGTTGTTTCTTCGCTCTGCTCGCTCCAAAGCAACACGACGGAGTCTAAGAGCCAAAAGATTTTACTGGGTCTGGTGAAAGTATTCTAATAAGTAAAAATGATTCAGTACTTTTATTCTCACATTACTGATGTGAGGTCCGTGTTTAACAGAAAAACTCACTCAGAATATGCTTGATCGTCAGTGTACCGCGCCTTCACGTAGAGTCTTGTCACATTTGAGAGAACTGTCATAATGTCCACAATGGTTGCTGGTCGACCGGCCCTCGTGTAGTCCACCCTATTACTGCTGCAGGAAAGAAGGGTAGTAATTTTCATTGAGTTTAAAAAATGTTTGCAACGCAAACAACTCTTCTGCTTTCCAACATTCTGAGGCATTCTGCTGGTTGTAGAGTAATAACTAATACAGCCGCATGTTCTTTTAAGGCAACCCAACCACTTGTTTTGGTAGTTTAGAAAAAACTACTGTAAAACTTCACTTGATTAAAAAAAACTGATATTTTAATGGTCTGAGAACTACCTTCCCCAATCGTAGGTGGGGTCTGGATAGGTTGGCTGCCTTTCAGAGCCCGTGGCCTGCGTTTGATGAACGGGGATGCGATTCAAACTGCCACTACCTGCTTCAACCAACACGCGGAAATTGGACTCATGCAAGCGAATTCGCTGAACACGATGCGTCTGTCTGTTCTCTGATGAGGGGCTGTAGGCCAAACGGATTCCATGACCCTAGAATTGAGGAATGCGTATGAAAGATCGGCAAAATTTTCAAGCATTTGTTTTAGTGGTGTGAAAGTTCCCTCATATTTTAGCCAAGTAACTTCGATAGTCACCAAGCGAGTAGAGGAGAAAAAACAATTAGGATGAGGTTGTAACAATAGATTTCCATTCATTCAAAGCTCAACAACATTCTATCAGCTATTCTGAACGCTTATCACAAGATGCTACAAAGCCATGGGTAAGTGAATTATCCTTGTTACATTTGCATAGCGTTGAAGCCTTCCAGAGGTAAGAATAATACCATCGTTGGTCCTCACCTCAATCACAACATCCGGCTCAGTTATCCAAATTCGAGACAACGTGTAATTATCATATACGGAGGTAGCGACAGTGGCAGCAGAGCGAATAGACGGCGAAGCAAAGCGCGTGATGACCTCGAGGTAGCCCCTATACGCAGTCAGTTGTTTACCCAGATAGATTGTAGGTGCGCTCCAGTAGGTGGCACGGCTCGGTTCGGCGGCGGGAGGACCGAGAGAGAATTCGGCGTCTTCGGAACTGACACGAAGCATTCGGGTGGTAGCTGCCTCTGCCACCGACGCGCCGGCACTGATCGGAGGAACCGATAGCGAACGGGACGATGAAGGAACGACAAGATTCCAACCTTCTAGAGTGTCGACCTATCAGCGGAGGATTAACCCTCATAGGTTATGACTTCGAGACAATGCGCATAACAGAAGTCACTTCAAGACAGAATAGAAAAGAATTTGCCGATAAGAAAGCCTAGGACTGTCTTTAGAAAAGAAAAACGTGTCAGAGTGCTTCTAAAATACTAAAACTTGTGCAGATTTATTAATAACTTAAAAAGCAAAACTATAAAGGCATTAAAGTAAGGGTTCATGGAAAATCGAAAATAGGATTGCCTTAGCAGCATATGACCACTTGCCTGTAATGACCTTTGATTAAAATAGGACCCTCAATCAGTCACTTGTTAAATGTTTATGTGAATGTCAGTTTGAAAAACGCTATTTCAACCGCACAAACAGATAAACAGTACCTGTCATCCGTGTGAATTAAACTAATCATTTCGGACCATCTCACCAACCAAACAATATGAGGATATTCAAGTTCAAAGCATAAGTATGACATATGTTTCCATTTCATGCAAAAAGCATCATTTATTGTAGGTCTGAATATTATATTAAAGATGTGGAAAGAATTCCCACTTACCGTTCCCAACTTGCCGTCTTGTTCGAGTCGCTGAAATGCGAAATAAGTAATTTCTCCTGAAGTAATGTAATTTAACATTATCCACGAAAATGAGAAGGTTGTGCTTCTATGAGGCTTACTCTGGCGGTTGATACCGAAACACTATGGCATTCTTTGCTCAAGCCCATGCAGAAGCAGGCCTGACATCCTTCCGGATCTTCATCATCCAGATTAAAATGTCCAGGCATACAAGCTTTGCATAACGACTCCGGATCCACGTTAGGCTAAAATTTCAGGAGATAGAACAGTAACAGCAACCACATCACACGACAAGATATCAGATACTGATTTAAAAATTCCAGCATGCCCTACTTTGCAATTGCATGGCGGCTGACAGCGGTAGCCCTGACCCCTGTGGGAACCGGCAACGTCGCAGGGACACTTGAGACACTCGCCAGGTGCAATTGGCGAGTCGTAGTAGCCCTCCGCACATCGATCGCAGAGACGACCTGTAAAACCTTCGCGGCAAATGCAGTCACCGGGATGCTAGGACAGATCGTGAAAAGTTATTAGTTGGTAAGTCTCAGCGTTTATGAAATCTCTCCATCCGCTTCACATTGAATGGCAGGATATTTTGTCTGTCATTAATGCTCTAGTAAATGAGGTTATCCATATGGACAACGACTTTATAATGTTCTCGCATAGATTCATCTAGGCAAGTCCACGAGCCTTGAATAATTTGTGCAATGACGCATTTGCACCTGACGTCCCCAATTAAAAGTGATCATCCTTTGGAAGAAACACCAACCAGAATTAAAACACCGAGTTTCTGCCTACTTCTTCTTCCTCTTCGAACTTGCTCGCTTTAGGCTACTACTTCTACTGCTGGAGTCGAAGTCATCCATTTCAAACTGGTCTCCGTAACGATTGAGCTATTGCAACATTTGATGCGCTGTCAAATGATGACAAGACGACTGTCAAGGAAGAACTCTTGAGATATCAATGAAATCAAGAGGAAGTGAAGTGATGGGAATATGAGCAACTTTGTTAGAAAATCGCCCGGTTGATTGTAAGCATGAGGGGAATTTTGAGATTGCAGTCAATTTCGCTCCTTAATGTCCTCTGGTTGGTCGTGGACGGCAAACTATCCTCACGAGCAGTCCATGTATGTTGTGAAACTGTGACCATCGATTGGTGATGGAAGATGGTAGAACAATCGGTTGCACGACAAAATCACACACTCTTGTACACTTAAGCATTGGGACAGTTTACGTAGACCAGATGTTAGTCCATTCATTCGTCCGGTCAGTTAAGACTCTAACAAAGTCAAAAGTAGACCCTGCGGTCAACGTAAACATAACACTACCTCACGATACACACGCACACATATACACATGCACACACCGGAGGTCTACCGTCTTGGCATCGGTTAGTGTGTGACCTGCCAGAGACCATTTGGATGTGTCAGTTTGTTTGGCACAAGGGTTCACTCTAAGTTGCCTACTCGTCCTCTAGAAAGAAGAGGTAAGAGGTGTACGACGCCTTCTGTTTACAGACGACCCGACCCTCCTGCCAACTATTGTTTAACCTTTTAATTTAACTTCAAAGGACCTACCTTTTGGCCGGTGAAAGCCTCCTCACTAAAATCGCCGTCTCGGCTTTTGTGAAGTGCGAACAAAATCAAAACAGTAAATAAGGTTAAATGCATCGTCCAGAACAAAGTCGCTAGTGCCTCTCATAATCAGTGTTAGGAAATTACTAAACCGTCTTGCCTACGAAGTGTTGTTTAAAGCGATTCACGAAGCAGCTCACCTTCTCCGGCATCATTGCATCATTTGAGACACAAACGCCTGTCGAGCCGTGAAGATTGCAGTTGCACGGAACACAGGGATTCTTGGCTTCTGGAGCGACATTTAGAGGACGATAGTAACCGGCAACACAATCTTCACAATTAATACCCGTGGTTTGTTCCTACAGAATAGACAGGATGAATTGGGCTATGACCTTACTGTTAGATAAGGAGAAGGAAGGAAAAAAATAGGGAGTACAAACGATTTAAAACACTCACCCGACATCCAATGCAGACACCGCCTCCCTCACGCACGTTGTAGCGATTGAGACTGAGTTGAAGATTGGCCACCGTCTGGTTATACACACAGGAATCAGCCTTTCCGTGACAGTTACATTCTAAGAGGAAAAAAAAACAATTCCCTACGTCTATACAGGTGCTTTTTGTTCCAAACAATTAAACCCAAGTGTCCAGTTCTGGGGAAACACTACCTTCACACATAGCCCCGGGTCGCCACGGTTGCTGATTGAAGAGTGGACAGCATCGCTCACAAGTGTAGCCACACGTGTTGTGCTGACAATCGCAGACCGCTCTTGGCACCCCCTAGGAGGAACAAAGGCGACTAAGGGCGTTGACTGCAGCTTAACACTTAAGCAATAGGCTGTCGGAAAAAGAAAACATTATCTTGTTGTCACTTACATCAATTATCTTACGTCCACAGGTATTGGCGTGACTGTTGCAGATGCACTTTCCGCCGATTTTGATGTTCCGTATCGAATAGTAGTACTATTGAAACAAGACGAGGATGTTGATACGCAGTTCTTTTGAAATTTGGCTCCAAGTTTTAAGTACTTACTTTGGATCTGCTCCATTGTATATGTAAGCAGTGCTCGCTAAGATTTGTGCAGCTACATTAATTCTTGAGATCAGACAATCAAGTTAAATTTTTGCAAATTTAAGAGTTTAGTTCTCTTCTGTAAAAGGATGGGTTTAGGCACTCAAACGGTACCTGCTTTTGTCACAAACATTCAGCAGTATAACGCACGCGACCTGCCATAAAAGAGACGCCAACACTGATGCATAACTTGGAGCCATTAAAACAAACAGCCCTCAAAATTGTACTCCAAGTAAACATATCATCAGACAAAAGTGTTCAATGAGACTCACTCTGTTGTATACAGTTGGATCAAGCTGATCACGCAGGGTCATCCAATCACCCGACAGGGTCTGCAACTTCTGAAACCTCAAACGCACAAATCGGGCAGAGAGGAAGTCCTAAAAACCACAGCATTCTTGCCCATTAGTTAATTCCCATGCATATATATGCAGATGAGTTGGCTATTCTGAGACACCTACTATAAGTTCTGGATCGATTGGCTTGTTTGTTTCAAAGCGCGATGCAGAGGCACCCTCACGATCCACTGTTAGCGGAATTATAATCTCCCCCGCTTGCAGATTCTGAGGTTGGCTGAAGAACGTTGTGCAATAAACCTAGTGGAATGAAAAAGGAATGCATTTTGACTGTCCACAAATTGTAAAGGCATGGAATGAGAATCTCCACACCTCATTATTGCCAAGTCTATGGGGGCGGGAGTTGCCGGTGACTCGGAGTGTGACATTCAACATCGGTTGATAAAGTGTTTGACATTGGTAAGCATTTTCAGCAAAGAAAACCCATGGATGAAAGACTTTTCCATCGATCGATTTTTCCAGAATCCAATTTGCAGGTCGTGGAGAATCACCCATGCGCAGAAGAATGAAAACAATTTGGTACACCTACCAACAACCTGTAATTAGACCAAATATCCTGACAAAGGAAGTGCCGATCCTAGGAACGTGACTCACCTGCTTTAAGTCAATATCAATAGTGACCGCGTGGTAATGAAGACCCTCAGCCAGAGAAGGACTCTGCCACCATAAAGACGAATTCCCAGAAACAGCATACTCGATTGGATGACGAAGGTTAGGATCCCGTGCATCACAGTAGTTGCACTCAACCAAACTACCATCCACGTTTTTGTATGTGCGGGCGTCCTGTGTGTAAGTGTAAACTTGACGTTTCGTTCTTCGTGCAGCTCTAAAATAGGCAGTGCCGGATTCATTTTTTGTTAGTTTGAAAAATAACATAGCAACTAGCGGTAGGGCATACGCATAATCATATCCAGCGTGTTCGACTAGTCGGCAATAATATTCACGCTTTTTTTCTCCACAAGTTGCATTCGCAATAATTATCGCATTCTCCGCAAGCAAAGAATCCGGATCCATATCCAAGTAATCCATGTCTTCCGGATAGTCTGCAATAGGCTATTTGAAACCTATCAATAACAAACCATTTTGCTGGATGAAGTTGCCCCAAACACCCTGCTGTAGCAAGCAGAGCAGGAAAAGCGCGACCAAACCCATCCTTAGCGTGCAATATCGTGGTCAGTTGAATTCGTTCCAAATCAAGGTCACGAGCTTTCAATATGTAAAACAAAATAGAGCAGAAAACATTTTTTAAAAAAGAGAGCTACCGTTATTTTTTAGTGCATTTTGTAGCAAAAACTTTTTAAATACTTTAACTTAACCATTTAAAATTATTGATGATAAAATTGATAAATGGACCATTCTATATCAGGATAGGCCAACGTTTCCTCTAAATGCCCCCATAAAATTAAATTTTTCCGGGAAAAAATTAGTGGCCATTATCTGCGCCGTCTTTCTACTTTCACTTCTATTAGAGAGAAATCCTTGATTTACTGGTACCAGGTAGATTTTAAGAACCGTTGCTTTAAACAACGATAGAGTCTCCTAGCCTACCCTTAAAATCGTATAGCTTAGAATTCAAATAAAGTTTTGGTTGAGAAAGGTTTATTTGGCGTCTTGCATCAGAAAAGCCAAAGAAGGGTATTGACTAGACGATAGGTCTCTATTACCCTACGGATGTCTCTTCCCTCTCCTCACGAACGAGATTCATACTTGAATCGCTTAACTGCTTTTCATATACAAAAATAGCCTAAATGCACCTTTGCATGTAGCCTCCCAAGGCTTCCCATAGGGTTGAAGGAGGCATAAGTAAGGTCGAATACATGTATTCTGAATACGACGGGGTAAATGGGTCCTCAGCGTGACTCAAAGGCCAGCCCACGTATACAGGGACCAGACAAATACTAAGGTGACTGCGAAAACGTCAGGTAGTCACATAAACAAATCATTGCGGTACATATTACAATTACATCTCTTTGACTACCTGAATGGCTGGCTGTGGCTTTTATACTAATCTTGCTTTAGGTTGCGTAGATTGGATTGTGAACAATACTAAAGCCTAACTTTTTACCTTTTTCCAAGTACAGTTATCGACATTGCTTCATACCTTTTGGAAACAATGAGGGCTGGAAAATTAGTGCAGCACAAAGTCTAGGCTCCCGTTACACTTTCACTGTGGCTTGGACCGAGGGCAAGCCTACAAGTACGCTTTCAAGGCGGCTACCAAAGTTATCGTCAAATATCAGGTAGTCGCAATAAACAAAATATTACAATCAGAGAAGCTAAATGCGTCTAAAGCATAATAGAAACTTCTTGTTGTGAAAGTTTTTGACCAGTAATTTATGCTTTTTTGATCCAAAATGTAGCAGCTTTCAACGGTCAGCGCAACAAGCAGTCAACTGATTCCCAGAGAAAGAAATTAATCCGAGAATCAAAACGGAAAAAATGCCTTTTAAGTCATTAGCTAAAATAATAATTTTTGGCAGAGCAGGGCTGCCCAACCCAAAAGAGACTTGCTGAAACACTGTGACCACACAGAGTGGCAGAAGTCAGAGTGGTCGCCTATGCTCAACGCTGATATAATAAATTTGTACTCTGAGCATCCGGGCACTATGAAGGAGCTTTCTGTGGCCAACAAAAGTAAATATCACGTTTTGGTGTTTTGTAAATAAAGGCCAGAGCTTTAAAAAATAATATAATCAGTCATCAGTCCAGAATTTGCTACATGGTTTCAGGTCTGAAAAACCACCTAGCTACAACGTAACATCTTTATTGTAGTCGTCCATCCTTAAATCCTTTATTTGGCATAACAAGTGCTATGGATGCATCAATTGTTCCGACCCGCATCTCACCACCGTGTGATCATCTTCATATTTCTACTTGTGCTCTGTTTTCACCTGCTGCATCCGTTCCGTATCCACACAAGGGGAAGATGTCACATACCTCCCCAACCGGTAGGTCGCTACGTCTCATGCAAAAGAGGTAATTTATAGCATAAAGTCTCTTTTAAATCTTAAGGTTTATGTAGAGGCAAGCACTCAACCCCCACTACAGCAAGGAAGTGGGCCAGTAGTTATTTGCATGTCCTAGGTTGGAGCTCCCGCTTTAATGCTAAGAGGTGGCGTCCTTCAACCATACCTTCCCACTACCGCAAAGACCTCACTTAAACGAATGGAAAAGGGACAAGATGAGTTAGGAAAATGTGACCTACCTAAGACTTGACCTCTTGTCTACCAGATCGCAATGCCACAAAACGTGAGTGGATTCATTATTTAGCAACACACACAATTTCACTAACTCCCTACATAATCGCATTGTAACTGACAAGCATAGATTGAGTGCTACGTAATTGTCATTTATTGTTGTCGCAGTTTTCATAAGCAGTCCACGCATGCAAATTCGCGATCAAAGGTGCTTTATTCTATGCACCTGCTCTTTAGCAATCACTGAGACTAGAATGGAAAACGTTTCCCGAATTTCGATGGAGGATGAAAAAGTGGTGCAATAAGAAAGCCCTCTGCAGCAAAACAGCATCGTAAAATATTACAATTAATCAGGCTCTCAAGCAGAACACTTTTAGAACATGTGTGCAGCTATTCTAATTAGAACAAATGTTGTTGGGACAATCTAATAATACTAAAAATGACACATCAGGAAATGCATCCGCTAAGTGACTGGGTGATGAATTCTTCCCGCAAATTTTCGATTCACCAAAATTTATAAAATCGCTGTACACCCTGCGAGCCAATCAGAAACGAGCTTCTCACCGATTGGTCAGCAAATTATCACATTGCCTGACAGTAGCCTATTTTACCCCGGCGGTGGCATGGTAAAGACTATTCGACCAGATAAAATCGGCTCAATATGGACACTCCTACGATCGTGACCATGACCAACGCCAAAGCATTCAGGATTTTGCGCCAGTAGAATGTATGACTAAAACTGCTGAGCAGAAGGCAATGACATTAACCCAAACTAATTACCCAACTCAAATAATTGCAATACGAACTTCCTGCTAGAGTTGTAGATTAATATCTACACACTGATGGCCATGGAAGAGATTAGTTTGACAGCAGCATTCAAATGGGTGGGTGATAGAATTAGTGGTGCATGGTCAGATCGAGGTGGATGGCAAGAGGACAAGCAGCCATTCAGTTCTCATCACCCAGACTACTCTACCATTGCCTCATGCTTCACTTTGAAGGGTCAGGTAGAGGTAGGATGGCGTAGACGTAAGACCATTGTCATTGAAAATATGCGTGCAGCAGAGGGGTTGGGTGAAGACGAAAGAGTCGGATATGAAGACAGAAGCACGAATGAGGGTGTGGACGAGGACGGAATGTATGGACGAGAGCAGGGTGGCCAGTAGTGCAACGAACTAACGGATGCGGCAAAGCGGGATGTCAATGATGCGAGGAAGGGGTGAGAATGAGGAAGGGAGACAGGAGGGGCTCGTGGATAATTGGCAAAAAGCAGGCGGCAAGTGTTGCCTTCGCACGATGCAGAGGATACGTCTCTGTGCTACAACCAGTTGGTGGTGTAAGCGCATGCAAGAGTGGATGTTGAAGGGGTAGAAGGAAGAAGGCGGAAAGAGAGGAATGGACGGCGGTGGAAGG